GATATTAATGATATTGTCCAATAATTTCTGCATTCCATGGAATCACCTTTCTTTGGAATGGGTGCAAATATGAATCTCTTCTACTTAGTTGGCCATGAAGCTGTCTTCCAAATTTCTTGACATAGATGAGTGAGCACCTCCAGCACTGCATCTGTTTGTTGAAACATCTCAACGGGTATTCGGTCAATTCCTGAAGCCTTGTTTTTCGACAATGTCTTTAGTGTAGCTTGGACTTCTTCCTCCAATAACATAGATTCCTCATCATATGCTACCTCCTGAAATGGCTGAACATGGACCAAATCTTTTTGGTACACTGACTCTGTATATTCCTTCCATCTTCTTTTGATGCTTCCTGCGTCATTAAATATTTTCCCCATAGAATCCTTAAATATTGCAACTCAAGGCTTGAGTTTTTTTCTTCAGTTCTTTAGGCTTCAGAAATGCTGAGCGTGTTCTTCCCTTTTGGTTTTCTAACATCAAGTCTCTGCATATTTCATTATAATAGTTTACTTTGTCTTCTCAGGCTGGCCTTTGAAATCTTTTGTTTAGCTCTTTTACTTCATCATTTCTTCCTTTTGCTTTAGCTGCTGTACGTTCAAGAGCAAGTTTCAGAGTCTCATCTGACATCCATTTTGGTCCTTTCTTTCTTTCCTGTGTTTTTAATGACCTTTTGCTTTCTTCAGGTTTGATATCCTTGATGTCATTCCACAACTCGTCTGATCTCTGGTCATTAGTGTTCAACGTGTCAAATTTATTCTTGAGATGATCTCTAAATTCAGATGGGATATACTCAAGGTTGTACTTTGGCTCTCATGGACTTGTTTCAATTTTCTTCAGCTTCAACTTGAACTTGCATTGAGCAATTTATTGTCTGTTCTGCAGTTGGCCCCTGGCCTTGTTCTGACTGATGATATTGAGCTTCTTCATTGTCTCTTTCCACAGCTATAGTCTATTTGATTCCTGTGTACTCAATCTGGCAACGTCCACATGTATAGTCACCGTTTATGTTATTGTAATAGATATATTAATATATTGCACATATATAAAATATATATAAACAAACATACATATACGTGTATATATAGCTAACACCATCTGCCCCCTCTTATTGTCTCACAGCTTCACTCTTCTCATACTAATGTTACCGCTATCATTTCCTCCATTCAAAACTCTCCCCCTTCCAACCTTTGACCTCTTTCCCTGGCTGGCACCCTCTGGCCTTCAAGCCCTTCTCCACTCCCTTACTCAGACTTTGTTCCTATTTCTTTTACTATATTTTTTGCAGCAGTTGCTCCTGTTTCTCCTTTACCACCTCCGTCCTCTTAGCTCTTGACCCTTTCTAGGTCAAGGGGTAGAGTGTAGTATCCTTAAGGACACAAAATGGCTGTTAACAGGGGTCAGTTACAGGGCCATCAAGCAAGGGCACTTCACTATGCGTTCCTAGCACACAGAAGAAAGGCAGAATGTTGGAACTGCAAGCTGTTCAGAAAAGAACGGGTTGCTCTGGTGACAGGCAAAGGGACTTTAGAGAACAGGTGATTTAAGAACAGACCCCCATGGTAACACCAAGGGGACTTTCCAGGGGCACAGTAGATATAACTTTCATAGAGGATTAAAGTACTGCTCACCCTTACAAGATTAGCTTAAAGTAGAATAGTTGAAACTAGCACCTGGGCTCCACTGGGGCATAAAATGTAGCCCCAGAGACCACCAAGTTGAGACCCATCTTTGGACGGACAACCTCCCAGCCAACTGGTTGTGTGACCTCCAGCTGTAGGGTGCCCTGTCGTTGGTGCCATGTTGTCTTGTCTTGTGCTGCTTAATAAACTGCTCCGGCATCAACAACCGCACCTCTAGACTCATCTTTGGCGATCCCGAACCTTGGGAACTGCATTGCCCCTGGGGACTCTGCACCATTCAGACGCTCCAAAAACGACATATATAAATAAATATATCTGTGTGTATACGTATAAAAATATAAGTATATAAAATCAATGAGGTACCACTCATGGATATGTAACCAACAGAACGAAGGGCTTATTTCTAACAAAAGATGTGTGGAAGAACATTCATAGCAGCATTACTCATACCAAACAATGGAAACAATTCAAATGTTCATCAACAGTAACCCATAAAAAACCTGTTTCTGACTCATAGCCACCCCATAGGACAGAAATGAACTGCCTCACAGGGTTTCCAAGGCTGTGATCTTTACGGAAGCCAACTGCCACATCTTTCTCCCAAGGAGCAGCTGGTAGGTTCAAACCACCAACCTTTCAGTTAGCAACCGGGGCTCCTTTCACCAATGGTAGAATGGATAAGTTGTGATATAACCATTTAATGAAATATTACAAAGCAATGGAAAAGAATGAACTACGGCTACATGGAACAATATGGTTAATCTCAGACATGACAACTGAGTAAAAGAAGCCAGATGCAAAAGATTCATAAGGTGAGATTTCATTTAAATGAAGTTCACAGACAAAAACTAATCTATGGTGATGAAGATCAGAATGTTTATCTTTGGAGGGTAGGTATTTACTGAGAGGAGGCCACAAGGGAACTTTCTAGGGTGCTATAAGTGCTCTATATCTTGATTTGAGTACTGAAGATACATATATATACATCTATAAAATATTATCAATCTGTTCCATTTAGATGTATACACATTACCGTATATGAATTCTATCTCAATAGAAAGGCAAAGAAAGTAATTTCCTCTGGGAAGTCAAATTGGTGCAGGAGAGGGATAGGACAGGAAGCTGTTTTCTTTCATTACATGTCCTTCGGTTCTATTTGATTTTTTATTTTTAATATACACATAATCATATATTAACTTGATACAAAACAAACAATTTATCCAAGCCAGAAAATAAAATCTATTATATCATTTGATCTGGAAAAAAATTCAATTGTTAAACAGATTTCCTAGATTTAAATTAGGAAGGATTGAGCACAAAGCTCAGAAAGATGTCAGTAGCAGTAGCAAGAGGATTCCTGGAGATCTCAAGAGCCAGCGAGTACTTCAGAATACCTCTTATCTGACTACTTCTGACTAAGCTGTTGTAAACTACTTCATTCAGATATGTGCTATCAAACATCCTAATCTGCAGGAAATACAGATCCTACCGATTCTGTAGCTTCCTTAGGCCAAGATGACATTTCTCTTTTTCCCAGGCTAATTCCTTTTCCACTTGTTGAATTTTATAAACTGTTTTTCTGTTAATCTCAGCACGAATTTTGGAATCTATATCAAAATCCTGCAGATAAGTAGGAGATTTGCTCATCAAATGGGTACTTTATCAATGTAGACTCTGTTTCATACATAGATACAGATTTTTAAGCTTTATCCTCAATTTCATGCTGCATCATAACTCTCTCTCAAATATTATAAACTCTTCCCACTCTAGAAGAGAAATAAAGTGATTACTTCCACAAAATACAGAGAAAAGTTCTCAAAAATATTAACAATAATACAATTAAAGCTGCATATTAAAAGATTTTTCCCATGATAAAAATAATGAATGTTGACAGGATATTTGCAGAGTGTACAAACTTAAAATAAAAAATACTACCACCAGCCCAAAACAACTCCTATTACATAATCGCCTGGGCCAGAATGGAAGCTCATGGCAGGTTATCAGTTAGCTAAAGATCCCCTCATGTGACTTCACCTGGGAAAGATGGTAAAGTCTTTGGAATCTTCTCGATATCACCAGGTTCTGGTTGAATGTCCTTCACCAAAGGGCACTTTCCTCTCTAAACATACTTAGGGGCCTTCATGTTTCTTACCTTCAACCCTGAAAAAATATCAGAGCCTTCATTCACACTAACTGTAAGCCCTGACAAAATATCAGAGCCTTCATTCACACTAACTGTAAGCCCTGACAAAATATCAGA